ACTGGCCAGCCGGGGGGTGGGGAGGGGGCATCAAACCATGGTCGCTGCACTTTGCCTAAGCTTGCCTAAGCAGACTCTTTATTATTTTTTATTTATTTTAATTTTTAAAAATTTATTTTTTAATCTTCAGAAAAACTGTAGGTTCACCAAGCAGACACTTTAGACCACTGAGTTATCTTTCCAGCCTCTAAAAAGCCACTTCTAAAGCCACACTTTATTATTTTCTGCTACAGATTTTTGAAATGAAAAATTTTTCTTTTTCTTTACATTTATTTATTTTTATTTTAATATTTGGTTGTTATAGGGTCTCACTGTGCATCTTGGACTTGTGATGATCCTTCTGCTTTTAGCCTCCCCAGCACTGGGATTACAGGCATGTGCCACTATGTCCAGAGTCTGGCCTGCTTTGCCTGCCCTGGGGGTGGGGCTGGCTCGGCATTTAATGGTGCTAGGACTGAACTGCAGTCCTGTGCTTGCTGAAGCTTGCCTAAGCTGGCGTTTTAGTCCATTGAGCTATCTCATGGGCTCTAAAAAATTTTAGAAATGGTGACTAGATTAGTGGTTGTCAGGGAAGAAGAATGAGGCATTGATGTGCATTGTTATTAAAATGGGCCAGGAGGAGTAGTGCATGTCTATAATCCCAGCACTCAGGAGACTAAGGCAGGAGAATCACCACAAGTTCAAGGCCAGCGTGGACTGCACAGTGAGACCATGTCCCACAAAATAAATAAGGAATATGAAAGGTCTTTGTGCTGATGAACTAATTCACACTGTGGACTGATGGTAGACATAGAAACTTTTGTGTGACAAAATTATGTAGAACTAAACATGGATACACACAAGAGAACTGGAGAAATCTGAATTAAGATCTATAGATTGCTTGCTTGCTTATTTATTTATTTATTTATTTATTTATTTTGGCACCAGGGATTGAACTCAGGACCTTGCACTTGCCAGGCAGGCCCTTAAGCCACTCTGCTATCTCCCTGACCCTGTATTAGTAATTATGTCTTGCTTTTAATGCATGCTATCTTTGGAGAAAACTGGGTCAGAAGTACACTACATGGAATTGCTATATTTTCTTATAACTGCATGTGAAACTGCAGTTACCTCAAATTTTCATTTGAAAAAAATCAAAACATTATATTAAATGAAATAAGCCGTTCACATAGGGACAAGTCCTACGCAGTTCACGTCTGCAATACTTGGAGTAGTCAGATTTATAAAGACCGAAAGTGGAACAGTGGTTGCCATTTTCCAGCCCAGTAAAGAGGAAATACAGGCTAATGTGTATAACATTTCATCTTCAGAAATAAAAAAGTTCTGGAGATGCTGTCAGTGATAGTAGCACTGCCGTTTGGGTGAAGGTAATGTTACTAAACTATGCAACTACAAGTAGTTAAATTGGTAAGTGATATCTCTTACCACACACAGACACAAAAATCCAAGAGCCAAAACGGAGCATGCTTTTCAGCTCTGCGAACGGTATAGTTCTAGTTAACCCTGGCTCTTAGAGTCAGCCCTAAATAGAGGTACTTGAAACAACTATGTAGCCACCCAAGAGCGAAAGGCTTGACTGGGCCAAACTGAGTGAACTAGCTCTCAGTTCTCGTTTGCTTCCTGCTGTCAGGAGGTCATCTTGAAGCTTCTTCCCTTGCAGGTCTCCCTGTGAGCTGGAAAGATTTAAGAACCTGGCCACAGAAATCGTCTTTGGGGGACGTCTGTGTTGAAGATCTTTCCACATGGTCTCTACAGGCTATGCAGACCTCACATAGTGGTGACATCCCCAGAGCAAGTGACCTCTGAAAAACTGCAAAGACCGCATGCCCCTTTCTACCCTGCATTGTCACTTCTGCTGCATTCTGGTCATCAGGGGTCCATTGTTTCTGCCTGTAGTCGGGAGAGGGAAATGGACCGCACTGGTCAAAGGATTGTCAGAGAACCTGTGAACGTGTTTTTAAACCACCACATGCACTTACAGAAGCATCAGTATGTTGCACCAGTTTTTACTTTCATCTATATTGTGTCATGCTTGCCAAGTTTCATACAAGAATGTATTTTTACAATGAGAAAGAAAGTATTTTATTTTTAAAAGCGGACTATGGGGGCTGTGGAGATAGCTCAGCAGTCTAACCAACTGCCAGGCAAGCACAAGAACCTGTGTTTGATCCCCAGCATCACATGCCATGCCTCCCTTGGGTGCCAAGCTGGCTACTGAGACCGGGCATTGTGGCACACATCTGTAATGCCAGCTCTGGGGAAGCTGACACAGGAGGATCACTATGAGTCGGAACTACATAGTGAGACCCTGTGCCAAATACATTTAAAAAAAAAAAAAAAAAAAAGGTGCTGTGGCCAGGGTTTGTGGTGTATACTTGTAGTCCCAGCACTCGGGAACTGAGACCAGAGAATCGCCATGAGTTTGAAGCCGTTTTGGGCTACATAGTGAGGTCAAAGCCAGCCTGCACTACAAAACGAGAACCTGTATCAGAAAGTAAATAAATAAATACTATGAACAATTACATTAGGGAATCACACTGCCTGATGTTTTACTTCTGAAGAGGGTGTTCTGGATTAGGGGCACCAACTAACTAACTGTGGTTCTGAGAGCAAAGAGAACCTGGCTAGGAACCTCACTGGTAATTACAATCCCCAACCGAGTTTGCTCCCTCCAGTTAGATTTTATTTAAATTTCCACCCCAGTAGTCTATCTAGAAAGCTGTCTTAGTAACTTTTATTTTCTTCTTGAGACAAAATACCTGCTAACCCAAATTCAGAAAGAAAAGATTTATTTTCTGATACCCAAAATTAAGGAAGAAAAGGTTTATTTAGCTTATGGTTTGTGGATGTTTTAGTCCATACTCAGCTGGTTCTAAGGCAGGCTGTCATGGCACAGGTGCAATCATCCATGGTGGAGAAAGGCAGCAAAAATGGGACAGCAAACCTCTTTTCCCCCTTATATTATAAGCAGGCTCCCTCCCCTTCTCAAGTTGACACACTGAATCAACCATTACAAAAGACTTATCCCACAAATTTCCTATCCAGTCTACTGGCCCCAGCAATTCTCTCAGCCTTGGGACCTTGAGGCCCAAGCCATAGGAATAGAGTTGTGGCTCTGAATTACAGGATCCAAACACCAAGAGGCATGTTAGGGACTAGAGGGAATTGGCCCAAGGGGTTGCAGTGAGTGGCAGGGAACATTAGCAGTGACTTCTTTCACTAGTCACAGTCTGCAGAGGAGCACTCCAGCTGTAGTCAGCAACAAGAGAGGGAACTGCTGCTCTTTGTTGGGTACTTCCTGAAAGCTAGCTCATAAGTATTCTGTGGCCTTCTCTTCATTTTGTTGGACACACTGAATTCTTGGTTGAGTTTCTTAAGTAGTTGTCTCGGGGCTACTCTGCTTCTGTTAATATGTAATTTCAGCGCCCAAAATATAGTCGACAGGCCAGAAATCATTTCAAGAGAAATTGAGGCCCACAGAAAGTTGCAGATATGGCTGCAGTCCTGGTCTTCTGAATTTTGTTTCCCATCTCTTTTAAACTGCCTGTTTGCATTTTTAGGGAAAATAGAGCATCAGGGACATATTTAACCTTAAAGGTGAGGCACACAGGGTGGCTGGAATTATAGGGTAGCAGGAATAGGGACAGTCATACTTCTCTTGAGGGTCTCAGGTCACACCGCACAAAGGCAGCACCTATTTTAATAAGCCAAGTGCCTAGCACATGGGGAGCAGGAATGTCCTAGGTCGGGGCGCCACCCTTCACTCTGGAGTCCCCTATTGCTGTACGCTCATGGCTATTTCTAGTGTATTTAATACACAGAAGCAGCCCTGTAGTCTTTCACACTGCGGTATGTAGAGAGGCTTACCTCTCCCCTACTTAGGCATTTGCCCTTTGGAGACTGTCAGTCTAATTTTTTAAATTTAAATATTATAATATATATATATTTGGTATAGAGTCTCACTACACAGCTCGGACTCATGATCTTCTTGTTTTCAGCCTCTCCAACACTGGGATTACAGGTGTATGCCACCACACCCTGTCTTGGTGGCTGGCTCAGAGTGCCCAGGGATGGTGCTGGTGTGGCACGTGGTGCAGGGATCAAACCTGGGTCTCTGTGCTTGCCTAAACAGGCGCTTAGTCCATTGAGCTATCTCACCAGCCCTTTAAATTTACATTTTTAAAATTTTATTCTGGTTGTATTGCCATGCTATTTTATTAGAGCTTGGAGCTATACTACAATGTATTGTGGTATAGGAAATAGGTTACATGACAGCAGCCAGGAGCAACAGGATACCAAGTGTGATTGTATTGTATCTTGTAGGCATCTCAGGTGACTGACATTGTGTACCACCCACATGGAGGAATTTATGTTATGTTATTTGTACCAGGAATCAAATTCAAGACCTCACATTTGGCAGGCAAACCTGTGGCACTGAGCTAAATCCCTGGTCCCATATGGAGAAATTTAAAGGAATGTGTGGTGTGTCTTGGATTCCATCTCTAACATGATTAAAAAAAAAAAAAAAAAAAAAAAGCTAAATAATAAAAATCTTAAAATACAAAGGGCAAGATTGTTAGGACAAAGACTTCTTCCTGAGAACATGACATCTAAGCTGAATACAAAGAAGGTGCAGCCCTTGCCAGGATCTGAGGGCTGAGCAGACTTAATGCTAGTTGAGGAAGCAGGAAGGTGAGCGCGGCTGAAGCACAGGGCCAGAGAGAGACCAAGGCCTGAGACCATGTTGGGCTTCATAGGCCATGGTCAGTGCAGCAGGAAGCCTCAGCTGGAGGTCCTCTGCTGTCTCTCAGCCCCAGCGTGGGCACCAGAAGAGCATCGCAGTGTGCTAGCCTTACCTGTAGCCTGATGAGATGGTGTCCCCTGCCACCTGACCAGTTTCAGAAAGCTGCCCAGCAGGAGTGTGAGAGTAAAGTGTGTTGGGATGAGGCTATGATGCGCCAACTCAGCTTGTGTGTTCCTCGTGTTCTCTTCCACTGCAGCTTTTCCTTCCATCCATGAGGAAGAAGCCAGCGCTGGCTGATGGCAGCAATCCTGACGGCGATCTCCTCCAGGACCACTGGCTGGTGAATGACATGTTCACTTTTGAGAATGTGGGCTTCACCAAGGACGTGGGCAACATCAAGTTTCTGGTTTGCGCAGACTGTGAAATTGGACCCATTGGCTGGCATTGCCTAGATGACAAAAACAGTTTCTATGTGGCCTTGGAACGGGTTTCCCATGAATAACTGAGGAGGTAGGGTCTCAGCTCTACCCTCAACTCTAAAAGAACTGGCATCAAACTCGGTGTAACTGTTGTGCTGCTGATTTCTCTGTGCTACGTAAGGTAGACGATGAGCACCACCGTACGCACTAGAACACCACGTACCAGCCCTGCTTCCTCCCAGCCTCAGCGCATGCCTCCTGCGTTGTTACTTTGCCTCACAGCATGTCCTGACTTCCTGCTCCCCTAGCCTTGGGACACCTAGACCTCCATACATCTGTTGTCATCATTGGCCTTCTACCTAGGCCCTGTTTTACCCAAGGCTCCCTTTTACTGCTCTAAAAGAGCAATATTCAGCTTTTTAACCATGGTAACACATGTCAAGAATCATGTGCTGATAGTTAAAACTTCACCATTTTTACTTTCATTCAAGAACATATACAAGTACATGAGAGTGATTTTGTTGTCTGACTTAGTTATTGACAGGAATTTACTCTTTATAAAAGTAAAACATTTATAAACTTCACTACTTAAGTCACTAATGAGAAGTGCATTGCTTTGGATACACATATAATAGATACCATGGGTGAGAGCCTTAGATCTGGAATCATAGGACAGTTTTATTATGAAGATATTTGAATATGGCCCTTCTTATCTTCAGACCTTGATGTGGTTTCTCTTTTTATTAATTTAACTGCTACAGGGGCTGGTGAGATGGCTCAGTGGTCTAGGGCACCTACTTAGAACAAGCTTAGCAAAGCAGAGGGACCGCGGTTCAATCCCCCAGCACCACATGCCAGCCAGCCCCGCCCCCTGGTGGGCTGAGC